AATATTTCGAATTATTGGAACATTTTTTGCTTTCTTTTCAAAAATGTCTATAAGAACAGAGCTCATGAATTCGAAGCAAAGTATCATAAGTTTGAAAGTTATGAGAAGTGAAAATATTTTTAGTACTGATGACTGATTTCCAACTAATTTCACTTAACTACTAATTGATATAAACAATTTGAACTTCTTTTCTCAAACCTTTCTCTACTTTCTATTGTATTCAGTTTGATCGTTTAAACTATATCATTAAGAAATTTCCTTCTCCAACAATCTCCTACATATTCAGTCGAAAATTTAGAAATATGGAGGGGTTTAGTATATTAAATGAAAGTAAGACTGAAGATAACAGAAGAACGATTGCATTACTTGTCAGTTTAATTCTCCAATCAGTTACTATTACCTTTAATCTTTTTTCATGTGTCAATTGAGTGTTATACGTCAAGTTGGAATATTATCCATCCAAAAGTTAGTATTTTACAGTTAGCAATAGGACCGAAAGTCATCACAGATAATTAACTTTACTCCGAGAATGCGATAGTAATTGCAGTACCAATAGCAAGTGTAATGATAATAGAAGTATTGATACTATTACTTTATTATTGTTAATGCTTCCGGCAACAGGAAATCTAGCATTTACTGGACATGTTAGTTTCTATAACAAATCTATAAACCTTATTCATGGTTATTCTTAGGATTACAATAAGAGAAGATTGGTCATTGTGGTGGAAAGCTTATATATTGATGATTTTGGCAAAAAATTCATTGACAAAATTTGCACTTCCCTCTTAGCACAAAACTGAACAAAAGTAATTTTTGTGGTTTCTTTTTCTTGGATTTCCTTGCATGGATTTCTATTTAGCAGAAGTTGTAATTAACAGTAGCAATTTATATGATTTCTGTTATTAAACTTATTTTTTTACGACGTTATAGTGTACTTATATGTAAATTTTCGTCTGTATTTGAATTGAATTTTTCTGCTCCTCAAATTTCCAGTTTCTCGAAATGGAGGAAAAAAAATTCTTAATGACTACAATATTGTCTATACAACTGCAGACTAAACTGTTTCAAACCATTATATTGTTTGACCGGCTAGACAGTTCAAAATGATTTTGCAGAAACCCGATGCATTTCAGTTTATTTTTGACCAAAATTATATATAAATAAACAAACGTAAAATGTATGAGACTATTCACCTTTCGAATATTTTTCAAAATATGCAAGCAAATTTAAGAAGCAAACATTACTTTCAGTGGAATTACTCTGATTAATCTCAAATCAACTGTTACTGTAGGAAAATCAATATTAAAATTATATAATTGCCCACCTTTGCTCTTTAATCAAGTTTTTTTCCTGAAATTTAAATCGTATTGGACAATGGTACAACTTCCATCGGTTTTGGAAGCAATAAAATTACCAGAAAGGAAAATATTGTTATCAAGCATTGAACTTAGTGTCAAGTGTTCAACTTCTTGTGCTTAAAACGATCTAGTCATTCTTTCCCTCGGGAATATATTCATTGCATTTTTTGGAAGAGGGAAAATGGAACAGAAAAATTGAAATTCTTAATTTTGATCAAAACTTATCTCAACATTGAATCTATTTCAATGTTATGACGAACTAATTTGTATAACACATTTAACAAAAAAATAAAAATAAGAAAATGCCTAATTTAGCCACATACACGAACACTACTCACAACCAATTTCAAAACTGAGCTTTGGTTTCATATTATTCAGCATATATTAATTAAAAGCATTAATCACAAGTGATGAAGCAATATAGTTTTCCCCCCTGGTTAATATCGCTCAGTTTTGAATGTTTGAAAAAATTGAAGCAAAATGAAATAAAGCTGGAAAGAATTTGCATAAATTAATTATTTTTCACAATGGAATACGACAATTCAAGTAAAATTATCCACTGTAAAGGATTAAACAGTGATTGCTATTGTTACATTACTGTACGTGAACAAGGACTATCGATACACATAGTTACCCACTCCCAACAAAATTAATATTTATTTATGTAATTTGGCTCTCAACAGTTTTGGCTCTTTATTAATTTGGCTCTTTA